ATGGGTCACGGCATTTGAGGTAATAGCAATGAATGCAGAATTCCTTCCTTAAAGACCTCAGAGTCCAGTTGGGGAATCAGACACATAAATTGACAACCATGGAATACTTTATATTAAAGAGAAGAATCACCTAATTTAGCCTTGAATGGAGGGTTTGGGGGCTTGACTGGAGAAATCCAAGGAAACTCTGGGAATAGATAAATCTTGAAGAATAGGTATATAGGCATTTTCCAGATTAAATAAAGAGAAAATTGTTTTAGACAGAAGGGAAGAAATTGACAATGAGCACAAAGGGACATTAACAAACAACCTTCCCACCCCACTACACCACACACTGTATTCCTGACACCAGCTGGAATGGGGCCAAGCACTAATATGTCTTTATACTCTCTCTTGGGGTTTTAAGTTGGAATCGTTTTTTCACACTTTTTTCCTGTTTGATGAAACTATCATCATCTCAGGGTCATTTGTCATGAGAGAGATTATTTTCTGTTTGTTTTCAAGTGCCACAGAGCACAAATCACAGTTGGGCATTCAGCAAATGCCCAATAAATATTTTTTTGGATAAATAATGAGTAAACTCAAATATTCCTTTCTGAAGCATTCTTCCATTTTTCTCATTGAAAAAAGAACCACCTTTGTCCATACTACATATATATAGACATTTAATGGTTATTAAATGAATGAAAAATAGAAGAATATAATGGAAAAAACATACATTCATACCACGTGTCTGGACTCATGAGGTAGCTCAGTAAAGAATTTGCCTTCTAGTTCTCTCTGAAGAGTGGAGACTAAAGCATTTACTCAACATAAAGAAATAAAAATCACATATAAGCCAAAACCGAAAGATAAATACTCTTTACTCTTTGCTAAATATTCTTCTAACACACCCTTACAGAAATGCATGTATACGCACACGGACATGTATATTCAAGCAAATAAAATCACATCACATGCATTCTTTTATAACTGCTTTGTCACCTGTCTTCATGTCAGCAAGTATAAAGATATATATTATTTTAATGAATTCCTCACAGTTTATACATGTAACATGATTCATTTAAAAAGGCTCCTATGTTGGACTTCTGCATTTCTTTCAGATTGTTTTGATGTTATGACCAATGCTATGGTTAACATATTTTATGCATTTTTGTACATTATAGGCATTGTTATCTTGAAATAAATTTCTAAAGTATATATGAAATTTAAGACTCAAAGTACTGTGCAGAAGTGACATCCAGAAAGTATGTGAGATTACCATTCCCTAAGCACTTAATGAAAGAGACTTGTTTCTTCACATCTTTAATCAACAATGGGTATTAGGCTGCTTGTTAGATTTTAATTTAATGTGTTATAATCCAACAGTATTTCCTTTATGATTGCTGGCTCATGAATCAATGCCTAGAAATAATCTCCCTACAAAAAGATTCTAAAAATGTCTACAATTTCTTCTAATATGTTTTATGGTTTTATTTTTTTAATATGGAAATCCTAAGTTCCATCAGACAATAAGCTTGTTTTAAGTCACAGTATAGGCATCTTTTAATTTCCAAATGGTACTCAATTGTTTTAGTACATTTAATAAAGGCATTTTTTGATCTTCATGATTTACATGAACATTAAATTAATACTGATATTTGGATATATTTCTAGACACTATACTTTTTCCATTGTTTTGCCTACTTTTCCTTGACTATTATTTTAATTACTACAACTTTATATTATTTGATTTTTAAAAAGTACTATAACTTTATACTACACTTTAATATCTGATGGATTAAGGTTCTCTTTTCTGTTTCCACATTAGAAAAATATTTATATTTATATAATATTGGGTCATCTTATCCATGGAGAGGGTTGGTCTCTTTTTTATTAAGTTTTATTATGTTACCCTATAGAATTCTTCTTTCCAATGAACATTTCATATTTTCTTGTTAATTTTTTTCTTGACAGTTCACAATTTTGATTCTGACTATAAAATATATTTTTGTTAGGATATTTAGCTAATTATTATATAGATAGATAGCTGATAGACAAAGCTATTGATTTTCACCTGATTATTTTTTAATAGAGCATGTTATGTAAATCTTACTTAATATTTTCTTAGTTTCCAGTCAATCATATAACCTGAAAATTTTGGAAGGAATCAGGTTACTAGCAAATGAACCTACGGATGAACTTCAGCATCACCATAAATGAGACAGCCAAGTATTTTGTATCTCATTAAGTACTATGAAATGCTGTTGCCTTAAAAACAAATAATAACAACAAAACTGTCTAGATCTAATTTAGTTTAATATCTAATTCCTAGTTTATAGAAAATAGGGAAAGTAGAGGAATAAAATGAGTAACAAAATGAAAAAGGCCATATCTAGAATGTTAGACATTCAAAAGGACAAATAACTTGAGTTTCTTCAATAAATCAATAGCATCAAAGAAAAAGAGGTTTGTTACAGAATAAAAGAAATTTAAGAGACATAAAACCAAATGCAGTACAGACATTGATTCAAAACCTATTACAAACAGACATCTTTGAGACAGAGACATTTCAATATGAACTTGGTATTAAAAGATATTAAGATAACTATTTAGTTTTATTAGTTATAATAATAACTTCTTGGTAATATAAGACAAAAACAAATGAACAAATAAAAAAACAAAGGTCTGTCAGATATGTATACGGAGATATTTACAGGTAAAATGTCACCATATCTGAGGTTTGCTTTAAAATACTCCAAGTTACAAGAAATGGGGAAAATACATAAAAGAGTTGCAAAACATTGTTAATTGTTGAAACTCGCTGATGAGCAGATTGAGTTTCATTATACTATCCTTTTTGTGTAAAGCATGTGGTTAGTGAAAGATAAAAAAGAAGGCAGGTAAAAAGTAAGAATAGTAGGAAATATAGGTGAGGACCAACGATTCTAAAAAGGATTAGAGGGAGTTAGTGTTAATATAGGAAGTACTTAGCAAAATATGTCTTAAAGTACAAGTGAGGTTCATACAAACAGAGAGAGGGAATGTTTGAGATTGTCTAGAATTTAGAATTGAGACAGACAGGGGAGAAGTTGAAGGGTGGTAAAGGGAGCAAGAACACTCAAAGATGATGCCTAGAAGGGCACTTGCTATCTGGATCACAAATGTTTAGGAGCTAGTGAAATAAATAATTTTTATGTCTGAATTATTTCTCTTTGACCTATCAACTTCTCCCATGCATCTGCTTCATGTAAAGTACCCTAATGCTAAGACTATGACCTCCCTCTCAAGGACATTAACGCAAGACTTATATCTGGACACTGATAATTTATAAAATTTTCTTTGAAAAAACTAACTGCTACAATTTAGGAGACTTAAAATGTCTTTAACTTCACTTCAGAAATATGAAAAAAAAAAACCTCTGAGTTTTTAATGTTATCCTAGGATGTACAGAGAAGGCAATTCATTGAAGACCTGCCTTGTCACATTCAATAGAGCAACTGCAGAAGCAATTTGTTACAAGCAGATGGGTAGTTGAGCACTAAAAAGGATAATAAACTAGAACGAATTTAGATATTGAAATCAATTTCTTTTAGGCTTTCCATGAAACTTCAGATTTACACAAACAATTATATTTGAAGAATTCAGAAAAAAATATGTCATACAAAAATGGGTGCCCATGAAAACAGAACTTTACACATGATATAGCCTTTATAGCCACCATTTACTTGGTTGGTTCAAATATTTATAGTTCATTGTTATGACTGCCAAAACTGGCAACCACAAGGATTGTTGTCTCAATTAGGACAGTAAACAGATTGTCTCTTTTTTTAATGAAAAAATCTAAAATGTAATACTTCACAGTTTAACATGTTTATTCATCTAAACGAGCTAAAAAATAATGGTGCGACATCTGTTAGAGAGGCATTGGTACCTCAAATTTTGGCTGCTTCCCCACCAATTTGGTTGTTGTTTTAAAAAATGAAGAATAGGAGGGAGCACTGTCATCGAAAAATCTTCTGGCATGTAAAGTATCTTATTTTTCTTGAAATAAGGATCTCATGTCTGTTGCTAGGGATAAAAAAAAAATTATTTAACAAGGAGGCACTATGCTGAATAGGGCAGCAGTTCAATTGTTTTGAATGGATTAACTATCCCACTACGGATATTCTCACATGGGTATAGTTATTTAAGTGACTCTCTGAGTTCTTTCTGTACTTACCTGTATACCTAAAACTTGTACGAAATAGCAAGAATGTTTCTATAGATGTGTCTTCATCTGCAACAGTTTTTTACTATGGGTTGCACTGATTCTAGATATAGTGTTCATGGAACAAAATCTAGCAAACATCATTTCATCCAGGCTGCATTGGAGCAATTCTAATAAAAGAAGGCAATGCTGCTAAGAGAGATGGTGTAGGAATCTCCTCAGAGAAGCCTCAGGTAAGTGTAAAGATGCCCAATTGTTGGTAAGGAGAAAATAAAAACTTTTATTGGAGAGTCTCTGATTCAACAACCTTATGTTATGGATGAAATACATGAAAACTGTGTAAGTTTAATTTCCTGAAGTTTGTTTCTGAAGCTCTTCTAAAGCATAATTCACTCTACTGAATTATCATTGACTATATAATTGGAATTTGGAAAATGTAGTGCTTTAGTATTCACATAAAAATATTGTAGTGAAAATTTGGTGCCATTTACATTGGGAGTAAAGATATATACTAAATTAAATTAAAAACATTTGAGTATAGCTTTTAACATAAGATAAAAATGGCATATTTGATTCCTATAAAAAAGCAATTGTTTCTGTTCTACAGAGAATTTAATTCTAGTTGTCTCAATCTCAAAGAAAACACATGAAACATATATAGTGTCCCAATAAAACAAATGACCATGAAGGCTAAATGCTAACAGATCAATATTGTGATTTTTAAGTTTTATTTATTAAATGCAAACAATTTTTGACCATCTATTATATGCAAAAACTGTGCCAGACTCTGAGAGGATTAAAAGAGATTAACTCAAATTTTCACATGCATTTATTAAATATGTGCAGATCATTACTCTATTGGAATTACAAAAAGAATAAGAACATATTCTCAGGATCTTGCAGTCATTGGGGTGGAAGTGTTTCCACCATCTTCGTGAAAAATTGAAAAGATAGAAAATCTTCACATATTTGCCACCTTAAAACAACAAACCCTTACTGCGATAGGCTTTTTATTTGTTTTAAAATAAATTCTAGATGAGATTATATTTTTACAACATCTCTCTAATAAATTTATATATTCTTTATTTTGCATGCAAAATAAGAACCAGCCACTCCTCAAGCTTCATGTGCAGTATTCCATAGGCTATATATTAAGTCGGCTGCATTAGTTGGTTTATTCTGCAGAGTGTGTTAACAAATAGATTCTAACATTCTGAAAAGTCATTATAATTTTTCTGTTTTTGACTTCTGAATTACTCCAAGCAGTGAATTATTGGAGGGGAAAAACCCACACATAAGATTTGTGTCTGGTGCCAGTCTCAGATTTATGCTAAACACCATTCACTATTCTAAACTGTAGTCCCCTGAACCTGTAGGCCAGTTATCACCTGTCTTCAAAGATTCAAACCAGACTACAATCTGGGATTCCTCTATAGAGGATTGGCCTCTTCTCAGTTAATGTGGGTTCAAAAAATTTGCATTTCATAAAAACAGTGTTATGTAAACACATATTGTCTTACTTGGCCTGATATTTATTAAAACCAGAGTTTAGCCTTTGGGACTTCTGGTTCTCTGTTGCTAGTGAGTCGGTCATACAAATGGACTAGCCACAGACTCAGGGTGTCAATAAAACTAGGTAATAAGACTTGCCTATAATTACACTATGTTTAGACTATTATTTATTATTGCCAGGAACATTTTCCCCCAAAAGAATACTTCAATAATAGAACAGGATAGTAAAGTTTTTTAAAGGTAATGAATTTTCAAACATATCCAGGAGTATAATGACCTATTTTAAATACTGTAAATTCAGTTATATCTCAAATAGGTATCTACAATTATTACACATCTTTTCATTTAAATTACCACTGAAATTAGAAATAATCTTTATTTAATGTGACTGTTTTAACACCATATGGGAGGGGAAATAACTAAATGAAATTGTTCACGTAAATGTGATAGGAGTGGGGGAAAGCAGTATTTCTTGACATGTGGCATGTCACTCAGGAAAGTAAAAGGCCCATCATATCCAAAATGCCAGCTTGGATATTCCCTTGCCACCCACTTCACGAACAGACATACCACATGGCATTAAATGCTGCAACCTTTCCTAAAAATGCCACTTGGATTGGTCTGCTGTGGTGAGTGATAAGAACTCTTGGTCTGTCTCTTGAATTTATGATTTCAAGGGGAAGAATCCAGTAAATAACATTGGCTAAATTTTGCCCTCAGATGTTTGGCATAAATAATCTGTGAGGGTATTGGAACTTTTCGCTGTTTTCACAATGATGAAAGAAATTATGCTACTTGAAAAAATTCTATAGAACATAGTACTACATAGTCATATTCAGCTATTTGCAAAAGTCTCAAAGAATATCTAGGGTATTTATCAAAGCTTTCTTCTTTTGGCAAGTATGTAAACAATCTTAACATTTTATTTAGTTCTCACAAATACAATGTATAAACTGTAAAACACTTTGTGCACATTTCAAACTATTCATTTTTTTATATATCTTTATATAAGGTAGTAGCTAACAACTGATATGAACACATATTTTACCATTTTATAAGCCTTATGTATTCATGAGTTCTAAAAATATAAAAAATTTCCCCTACTAGTACAAATATTGAATACATTGGTCATTATACTTCAACAAATGCAAGCTACCTTGAAAAATTCTATAAACAGAAAAACAGCATAAGTGTGTGAAATTTCATATATTTTCTTCTATTATTTATTTTTCATGGAAACTAATTTTTTAACTCTCAGGAGACAAAATGTGATTTTGTACAACAACTTTGTATTGTTCAGATTTAAGACAACCCATGATAATTATTCTGAGTAGGTAGGATTTACTGTTGTGTGGAAAAGACTGCACAATGAAATGGCAGATTTTCACATTATCTCCCTAACAAGAGGAGAAAACTGATACTGCAAGCAGCCAGAAACATAATTAAAATAGAATTCCAAGTTTATATTAATTGAGTAATAAGTTAATTAAAATCAAGATCAACTGAACTTTCTATTTACACCAGTTCAGACAGCCCAAGAGGAAAGGAACTCTATTTTAGAGACATATGTGACTCTCTGAGCTTCTGTCATCCAGGTGCCATTTCTGATGGAGCACATGTGCACTGAACAGTTGGCAAAGAAGGAAAAACATTACTGTAGAGGTATGTGCAGATAGTTTCTCAGCAATATAAAATACGTCTGGAAAGAAAGCAGGCTTCTTTGTAAAATGAAAAATTTCCCATGACTTTTCATTCCTTCTTGGTCCTGAATGTGATTTGAGAATGTTTCTGTAAATGAGGATATATACTTATACTTAATGATGTATATGGAACAAAAATAGATTTAGTAATCTGTAGTGATGGACTTATACACATAAATTGGCTAAGACATCTGAAGAATTTAGGATCTGTTTTCCATTTTATCTAAATGCACCATGAATAGGTTGCCTGACAAAGTAGAAAGATTTATGAAAGTATCCAGTAGCACACGTTATACTATATTGCTATGTAATGTTCTTCTCTTGATATCCTATTCACCTATTTAAAAAGATATTTCTGCAAATTGAAAATACGAGTAAGAAGAACTTAAGATGTTCCAGTTTCAGTTTTTCAGAAAGTAATGGTCCCCAGAGATGCTTTTATAAAATTATTTTTCTTTCATGCATTTAAGAGCTGCTCAGCTAATCTTCATCTGGTTCCAGATCAGGGTCAATGTCTGCAGACAGTCTTAGATAAAAGAGAGCATAGAAAGCCAGTAGGAGGGCCAATATAGCTGCAAGAACAAGGCCAACTTCCTGAGGAAGAAAAAAAAGTAGATATTTCACTGGTAATTTGACATGGATTATATTAGGTTGAAATAATAGCCAAAAAATTTACTACATGTATTATGGCAAAAATGCTATTATCTCTCAAAAAGTCTATGAACTTCACGTACAGATCATCAAGGAATGTTCTCAGTATTAGCATATCATGTGGCAGAATAGAAAAAAGAGAACCTGTGCCAGTTCCATATCCTAAAGGGCCTAATAGTCTCTTCTAATTTGTACTTGTGTATCACACCCTTTCCTGGCATTGTTTCATGAAGAAGCAATTTATTTGCATTTACATTAATATATTTTACATTTCATAAGAATTTTTTAATAAAAATTTCATTAACAATTTCTCAGTAATTCAAGATATGCAATCTAATAAACTTTAAACATGTTTAAATTAATTTGGTTTAAAATCAACATGAAATTTTTTACCTGAATTTTGGAGTTATATTTATTTGGACTTCCAAACTATGAAAATAAATATTAATAAAAATCATGGGGTTGAAAGACTCAGTATCATCTCTCTTTGTAAGATTTGATTTTTTAAATCTACTATATCACTACAATGTCAAATAAGAGTGAACTTTTCTTTGTTGTAGTTGAAACACTTTGGCATCTCAAAAAGGCACAGCAGTGTCAGACAGCTTTCATGTATATTCTTATATTCACAGCTGTGCTACCAGACCCAGCTGGTTACACAGCTACTAATTTTAAGAGGATGTAATAAACAAGTGACACACAACTGCAAACTCCATCTGCTCTGTGTAGTGGACAACAAAACTGTTCAACAGCAGTCGCCATTCACGTACACTTAGCCTAAGAATAAACTTTTTACTCTTGCTTGAAGGCCATGTCCTTATCTCATTGATAATCACCTCTAATTGCTGTTTTCAACTCCTTCTTGTCCTTTCAAACAACTCTGTATCATCTTCACTGTATATTTTCAGAATACCCAGAAACATAAAAAAGGGTTTAAGGGTAGGAATCAAAGAACATTCATAAATACAACTCCAGAGAATCTGTTAATTCAATTAAGTCTATTCAATATATGTTGTGTGTTTGGAGGTGGGGGATTGGGGCTAAAAAAAGTACTGAATGGGGAGGTATAGAAAATAACTTTTCTTCAAAATGCTCATATTCTGTTGAGGAGGTAAGCATTTTGGGGACTACATGTATGGAGGAGGAAAACATTGGCAAAATTTGAAAATATGGTTTTCAGTATTCTGGTGACACTAGCCATCACTTAGAGACCTACAGGCATTTATGACTCTCCCCATTGCCTGGTCATTTTTAGTTTTGAATCAGAAATAACAAAAAAAGAACAAAAATAACATTTCCAGTGGCTCATCCCAAGAGATAGTTAAAAGGCTCTGATTGACACTTGAATATTTTTTTATGGAACAGATAAATTTATGAACCTTATTCTTTTATTATAATTGTCTTTCAAATAAACCTTTTAAATAAACAGTTAACAAATATACATTATCTTTTTTCTTCTAGATACTAGGAAGCATAGGTATTTGCATTCTAAAAAATTTTTAGTGATGTTGCAATTCTTGAAAAATAATTTTCTAATTGAATAGCAACCAAATAGCAAATATTAGTTGTGCAAATATTTCATTACTGAATCATAAAGTATGACACTTTGTTTACATTGGTAAGACATAAGAAATAAAAATAACTTCTCAAAAGAAATTAATTCTAGATTTTGACATAGTCATATTCACATTTTACTCTGAATCATTACTTTTCCCTCAAAACATTTTCTGTTACTAAACATACATTTACAAAAAAAGAACCCTTTGAGGGTAAAGTCTCTATTGCATAATTCTTTACATCTCCAGTCCATGATTTCTCAGTCAGTACTGATAATTTCATATGGTGATGAAATCCGGAAGCGATTTCTTACATAAGTTCCTCCAAGATGACCATGCCTTATTCATCTTCCTTTCCCCCAGTTCTACAACACTGCAATGCTTATTTTCTAAATAAATAATGGGTTGAGTAAGATTTATACAATCTATATACCATGTACAAGGTATACTAAATTTGTAATGCTTTGAAATACCCATTACACCCATAATAATATCTTAAGAGCAAATCTGAAAACATTTTTAATGGATAATGTGGTCACATAAGGCAGACTTTGTTGAAGCAGGGGATCTTTGGGCCAATGAAAAACATCCAAGGGAAGTCTTACTTAGACAAACCAGTAATGGCTAAATCAAAAAAATATTTTCTCAATTACCTCACAATTCATAAATGACTACTATGTACTGGGTTCAAAGTTAAGGATTTCCATTGTGCTATTTAACTCTCCAGACAACACTCTCAGGTAAATGGCATAATCTCTATTTTATAAATGTGCCAACTTAGACTCAGCTAGATCATGGTAACAGCAAGAGGCAAGAGGGATGTGCTCCTTGGCCTCTCTATTTTGTGTTCAGTGTTGTCATCACTGATATTTTTCTATTCTATGAAGCTATTAATGTTTTCTGTAGATTTAAATTATTTTAAGAGTGTAACTGTGACTCATTCTAAGAAACAAGTAGTCAGGTGATAAAATATTATAATATTGTGGTGATCCTGAATCAACTAGATAAAGAGTCAAACATGTTTGATGTTCATTAGTCCTTAGTTGCTTCTCTGACATTATCAATATGGATAAAATCACTCACTAGGGAAATAAAATAGCATTAAATGGCAGTTGCTGAAAGAAGCTCCGTTATGTAAAATCTTATGCTAAAATGACAATGCAATCAAAGTTTGACAGGGCAAACTAATTAGTATGCCATATTTGAAACGTAAAACACCTCCATGGTTCTGATTCTAAAGTTTCATATAATTTTAATGGATTTTTCACATAAATTTTCAAGCAAAGTTTAAACAATGTTTAAAGTTAAGGTTTTTGTTCTCTACAAGTTTACAAATCAAAATGATGTGCTTAGCTTATTAAAAAGGAGCTTTGTTCTGATGTCGGCTAGAACTCTTCTGTACATATTTAAAGTTACAAATGAAATACAAGAAAATTATTTTTCCTTTTTAAAGATAAACATATTCTACATAGTTTTTAAAAAAGATATAAGATAATTGCACTATAAGGTAGACTTATGTCATACTGGGAACACAGTTATTATCTCAAATTAAAACAATAGCAATTATAAAAGGAAATTTTAAAAGAGGAGGTGTATAAGAAGTGGTATATATTAATAAATGAATCAATGCACTATTTCTCAAATTCTGATTTATAACTGCTCATTACTGTGCCACAGTTGGAATTTGCTACCTCAGTATTTTTCTAAAAAACCTTAAAAACCAAACCATTGTGAAAGATAAAAGTAAGTAACATATTGCTTGGATGGAAAAGACAAATAATGCTCTCACTTCAAGAGACATCATCAGGTAACTAATTATAAAATAAGGGACAAAACACTGCTTTGAGAAAGGCCATATCATGGAAATAATTTTAAAGATGAATGAAATTTCATATGAAATTAGAAAATTTTTGAAGAGAATCATTTCTCCTTTATACAAAATGGCAATTTACTTTTTTTTCATTAAAAACTGACACACAGCACTAACTGAGAAGATTGTGTTGTGAAAACATTCCTCATTGCACAGCAATGCTTGATCAAAATCAGCAATCAGGAGTAAAAAGAAGGCAGTGTTTTGTGATCATAATAGCAAATTCTGGAAGACAACCAAATATATCATCTGGCAGTTCAACAGCTGTTACAGCTTGGTAGTAATACCTTGGCATTTGCTATAAGCTATAACTTAGAAAAATTGATTTTTCATCTGCTAGATAAAAACCAAAATCTCCTTGTAACATTTTAATATTTAACTAAAATATATGTACCAGTCACTTTAACACATTTGACAATGGAGCAGTCAAATTAATTTTTCTATTTATAGTTTAATTCAACTCTGGCAAATAATTGACATGGGTAATAATGTAAATGTAATTTTGTTGAACTTCATTGTGCTAGCACATTGGATTCATATCTGATAATATCATACTCAGTTGCATTTACCCCTCTTAAGCAGTTAAAACACTGATTTTCTAGGAGAACAAGTTTGGGAACATCATTAAAATTTTATCATAGCAAACACTTATGCCAATAATAATATACAGAGTAAAACTATATAGATTAATGACTTAAGTGTATATAACTAAAATTGAAACCTTAGAAGGAAATTTATTGAAAATGAGAGAAGTTTTTGATCCAGGCACATAAGTCACTAAAATATTTGAACAAAATATATACTAGCTAGAGAAAAAATTAATTGCAACTTTAAGTATAACTGGTTCTCCTAAGTGACATTGTGTTTTAAGACCTGGTAAAATCTCAGGATAGGAGGGATGTTTCCCATTAAGTAAATTCTTTATAAAAATCTTTGATTCTGGCATTCGACTTAGACTTCGAAATGTCATAAAACATTTAAAACTCAACATTTATGCAATCCTCTTTTGCAAAGTGAAATGGCATGCATATATCAAATTTATAGTTATCAAATACAGATACCTTTATGCCTATTGCTGTTTTCTTTGCTTCTGCTTTTAATTTGGTTGCTCGTAAAATAGGTTTGGTTTTTTTATAATCCTGTTTACCTAGAAAAAAATATTTCAGACAATGAGCTATGCTTGTACATAATTCAAGTTTAACATCCATCTGAAATGTCAAAGAATGTTTAAATAGACTAAAATTGGGACATAGAGTTGCAAGTGATTCCCAGTTATGGAAACCATAACCTGGGCATCCAAGGGTCAACTTTGCCTCTTCTTAACTTTTTCAGGAAGATTTTTGACAGACATTTTTGATTTGCTATGCAGTGGATATCAAAGGAGATAAAACTTCTTTCAAGAATAAGATAAAGAGAATAAAATGAATAAAATGAAGCACTTGGAAATAAATGGGTAAACAAATGATTATACATGAGATCCCATTAATAGGTCAAGTTAACTTTGTCTTCATAATTGAAGAAAAACAGCTCATTATAAATTTATTTTATTAGCAATATAAAGTATTCAAATAATCTGAGAAATATGCTAATTCTACTGAAATAAGAAACTAATGAAATATCTGTAAAGAATTAACTTTCAGTCACTGAATTCATTAGAAAAATCTGTAACTCTTTTTGTATTTGCACTTACTGGAGAATAGAATAAATATGGCTAGATAAAAAATGTAGGATAGCTACATTTAGGTATTAGTTTCAATCTTCTTTACCACATTTCACAGCCAAAAATGAACAAAACCGAGTTAGTGTCACCAAATTTTCCTTTCTTGTGTACCATCTGGTGGCCCCACTAATGAGTAACAAAATAGCTATTACACAGCCTGTGAAGAAAATAGATTCAGTAACAACAAAACCATTGGCTAGAATAATATACTGTTTTGTTAACCAAACTTTTAACTAAGAACTGGGTCAAATGAGTCTCAAATATTACTGTATTATATATCATTCTGAGTGGAAGTTAACACCTCTCTAGTTATTCTATATTCTCCTTATTTTGCTTTGTTGTTTCTATTTACTCCCTTTCCTATGAGTGATCAATCCCTTTCCAGAACTTACCCCTATATTTCCTTTATCTAAATAATATAACTTCTCACTTTAATTTCCATATCTTCCTCACACTTAAATAAGTCTGAAAGCAGTTGATCTAAAGTATATCATGAAAATTTAATGTGCAATATATTTCTTAATGTGTGTTATAATGATTCAAAAGTACCTTTAAAATTCCACATAGATTTTTAGAATTAGAAATGGCAGGGAAAAGTGAGTCAAATGGATGGGAGTAATGAAGAAGTGCTCTATTTGTGTTCATTAGACACATAGAAGTGTTTAGCTGAAGAGCTCCGTATTATTTATAAGAAAGAGTGTATGCTGTTCCTTATAGCAGTCATTCTGGATCTATGAGCATGCAGAAGCTTAATAAATATTATTTGATGATGGGTTAAATGATCCAGAAATGAGCCAATTGTAAAAATGTATGTCAAATGATCTAAATTTAAATTATAGAATGAACAAAATATAGGCAAATATTACTCTGACCCATGTTAAATTAGCAACATTTAATTTTGCTGAAAAAAGCTTGACAAGTGTTCATTTTGATTTCACAACTCAATGAACTATTCATGTCATTATTCCCACTGAGATATAAACAGTTCAGAACAATGAAAATGGTGACACATCAAATGCCTCCACTCAGGGTTACAAAGCACGTGTCTAATGAGAATCTAAAAGAAACTTGAAGATTATAAATTTGAGGCCAAAAATACATTTCTTGTTTAATCTTATATATGTTCTATACTAGGTAATCTCTGGATGCAATGGAGAATAAATAGATATATGAAAAATGATTATCTTAACCCATATGCTATTCATACATACATGCAATATTCTGGATAATGTCTGTCAGATTCAAAAATCCCTCAAAGAGTCAATGGTAAAGTAAGAGTTTATCATTCACTTCACTTTCCAAATAACCACTGGTTAAATAATGTGTTGTATTTCAATTCAACTCCTTATCTCTTAAAGAATACTTCTTCTGGATTTATATTAAAGTGAATATAAACATTTAAAACTGTATTTATAATAAATGGATGGCTTTTAAAATTATTGCACAACTGGTGCTTCTCCAAATAGCACATCTGTCATTAATTTACCATTCTCCTTGCTTACTATGATACCCAAAAGTACACATTGAAAAGGCTGTTTCCATCTACCAAGTGAAAACATTTACAGGGGCATCTGTTAAGTTCTTTGTAACTAAAACCCTATTTTTCCATTATACCCAGAATTTTCAATATTTAAATTTTTGATGGCTTCAAGAAGATACCTATAATTGTAAAAAAATATACAGAAGCCCCTGTCTTTTGAGGAGATATAGAAAAATACATTTATATTATCTGTATTTTATGTGCATATGGTTTCTTGAACACAACTGGGTCTGATTTGGGTTATGTCAATAATGTGGTAACCAAAGTAGCTGTGTGGTAATTGCTCATTACATTTTATATGAGAGAAAACCTGGATGATCAAACCTATGAAACCATTCTGGGTCCTCAATTATCTAGTTTCTTATTTTCGATAACACTTCATCTAATTTCTGTATTTTCATTTCCAATGATGTAGGTTAGGTAACAAAAGCTCTCCCTCCATCTCCACACTTGCTGACTGACTGATTTATGGTTCCTCCCTCCAATATAATCCTATAATACTATTTTATTATGTTTTATTTTTAAATTGTCATACAATGAACTTGACATTTTTACCTTAGGTGTATGGTTCTATGAATTTTAATGCTCATATATAGGTTCATGTAACTACCACCAAAATCAGGATACAGAATAGTTCTTTCATTCCAAAAAATTCCCTTGTGCTATCTTGTTATGCCCACCCTTCCTCTAATCCATAATTTCTGCTAAACACTGTCCATTTCTGAAGCTTTGTCCTTTCAATAAGCATATAACGTAAGGCATTTTATTCAATATAAGGCCTTTAAGTTTCACCTAAGATGTATATATTAGAAGTTCATTTTTATCTATTGCTGATTGGTATTACATTATCTGGAGGTATCAGAGTTTGTTTATCCATTCAATCATTGAAGTGCTTTTGGGTTATGTCCAGTGTTTGACAAGTATGACCAAAACTACTACAAACTCAGGTATACAGTTTACACAAACACAAGTTTTCATTTATCTAGGGTAGAATTCCTGAGTCATATAGCTAAGTGTATATTTAACTTTGTTAAGAAATTGCCAAATCATTTTCCAGAGTGATTATATCACTTTGCATTCTCACCAGAATGAGCTTGCGAGTTCTGGTAGTTTTGCATCATTACTAGCATTGGTATCTATTTGGGTTTTATCCAGGTTATCTAATTCTTTAGCATGCAGTCATTCCTAGTGTTCCTTTATAATCCATCTTACATCTATAAGGTCGATAGTAATGCAGCCTGTTTCATTACTGATATTAGTGATTTGAGTGTTCCTCTTTTGCGTTAGTCTAAATAAAGGTTTTTCATTTTGTTGATCTTTCCAAATAACAAAATTTGGTTTTGTTGATTTTTTTCTACTGTTTTTCTTTTCTCTATTGTGTTTATTTCCACTGTAACCTTTATTACTTCCTTCTTTCAGCTTGCTTTGGGATTAATTTGCCCTTTTCTTTTTAATTTGTTTAGGTGGAAAATTAGGTTGTTGATTGGAAATCTTTCTTCTTTTTTAAGAGTAAACAGGTATAAATTTTCATGTAAGTACTGGTTGAGCATCATCTTATAAATCAGCAAAGAGAAGAAAAATGTTATTCACAAAAATACATGCAAACTTGTATTATAATTACCTATGCAGTTACCTTTACTGGCGTTATTTTTTCTGTTGGTGGATTTGAGTTACTGTCTTGCATTGTGTACTTTCATTTCAGTCACCATGACTTCCTTTAGTGTTTCCTGTAGGGAAGATGTGCTATTGACAAATTATCTGGCTTTGTTTATTCAGGAAGATCTTAATTTCTCTTTTCTGAAGGATAGTTGTTGTATTGGATATAGAATTCTTGGTTGACAGTCTTTTGCTTTCAGCACATCATAGATAATGAGTTACTTTTCTCTTGCTGCTTTCAAGATTCACTTTTTATGTTTGACTTTTAACAGTTTGACTATGATGGGCTCAGGTGTGGATCTCTGTGTTTATTCTTCTTGGAATTTGTTGGGTTTCTTGGATATACATGCTAAAGTTTTTCATTAAATTAGGGAAGCTTTTGGATACCATTTTTTTTTCAAATATTCTTCCTTACCCTTTCTCTGACTCCTCTTGTTCTGAAACTATTATTATACATAGATTTGTATGCTGGATGGCGTTCTATAGGTCTCTTTGTCTCTGTTTAGCTTTTGTGATTCTTCATTCTTTTTACGTCATGTTCCTTAGACTGAAATATCTCAATCAAACTCTCTTTATGTTCCCTGATTCTTCTGCCAGTTCAAATCTGCTGTGGAGTTCCATTAATGAAATTTTTACATAAATTAGTTTTTTTTTCAACTCCAGAATTTGTATTTAGTTTCTTTATACACCTAATTTACATTTCTATAACATTATTCTCTATTTTGGTGAGACAGCATTCTCATATTTAAACTCTTTAGACATGGATTTCTTTAGTTTGGGGGCATATTTAAAATAGTTGACTTAAAGTCTTTGTCCAGTAAATCCAAGGTCTGACCTCTATTAGAGACAGTTTATACTCCTCTTCTGTGAGGGGACCATACTTAGCTGATTCTTTGTTTCATATTTTCTGTAAAAAACTGGACATATTAAGCAATATGGCACCTCTCAAAATCAGATTCCTCTTGATTTGTGGTTGCTATTGTTTGTTATTTTCTTGGTGCTTATTTGTTTGTTTAGTGACTTTTATGGTCTAATTCTATAAAGACTGTATTATTTATCATATGCAGCCCATTAGCTTAATGTTTATCTAATAAACTTGACAGATATTTTCTTAACTGCTTTGAACCATTAAGTATTCTAGCTTTGCTGAAGGGTTCATATATTCCTTGGTAAACATTTCCCGTGCTCTGACATGAGTCTGTAGCTCTGCTTTAGCCTTCACGTCCTGCTA